AGAAGCAGACTTTATAGAGGTCTTGAACTCATATCAGAAATGAAACCAACGGTTTGGTGGAAGATAAGCGTCATTTTAGCCTTGATCTATGAGCATTCATCTTCATAGCCCTTTGCTGGTTGAGATCGAGTTCCTCCTTTATTGAGAATCTATATGACTTTGTTAAACGTAATTCTAGAAGGGCGTTACACCAATAAAAAAACAAGTCTTGGTAGTTCAAGTAAAAATCTACCATCTATTTGGTTTTCTTTGATTCTTGGTAATTTAGCTGAAAAACCCATATTAGTATTGTAAGCTCATGTCGGAATTTAATTTGGATTTAGCTGGTTCTTTTTTTTTTTTATTATTTATATGTACTATTGCCTTATCACCAAGAAAAATAAATTTTTAGGGTTTGAAATGTTTAGAGCTATATTAATTAAACCTCTGTTTGGTAACGCTTTTAAAATTTATATTATTTTTTTTTTAATTTTTTTTTTTGAAAGCTGCGTTTGTTTGATATTTTTGCTTTTTTATGAATTTTTCTGTTTGGATTTGCTACATTCTTCCAATTTAGCTCTTAATTGCATCTATAATAGTACAACTATGAAAATAGGCTATCTATATATCAATTATGTAATGCGATAATGTTTTTTTAATTGAGATATTCCTATGTACTTCTTTAACATATATAGTTGTTTTTTTAATCTTTTTTGTTTGGATTTACTCCCTTCTTCCAATTTTAATCGCCATGGTGCACTTAAAGCTTAGAAAAGCCAGACAAAGACAGTGGTTAGAGAGACATCCTATTTTGGTGGTGTTGCGATGAACCAAATGGATAAATTTTGGATCTAATCTTTAAGAACCCAACTTAGATATTATTACAAATGAGTATATATATACATATTGCAAATAGACAATTATAAAATAATAATGAAGCATGCTTCCTACTTTTGAAACATTTTCTTTAAAAAGTACTTAAAAAAAGTTACCAGTTACTCAACAAGCCAGTGTACGTGCATGTACTCAGATAGGTTATGATCGTAAGATTCATATACCTTATGGTGCCAGCCATAAAGTCATAAGCATGCGTCATAATTATTCACACAATTTATGACACAATTTGAAGTGATATAACCCTAAAAATAATACGTCATATTACTATCAATTATAAATAACTCGATTTTGAGATAACAAACTCATTTAATTGGTACAATCAGTCATAGAATTAGATGATTTTTTATTTGGTTTTCTTGGAATTGGGATTGGGTGGATTCTTAACTTATGAGAGACTTACGTGTAAAGGGTTTGGTTGAGAAAAAAAGAGTCCTAGTCTAAGGGTTTCTTGTTTAGGAGCTATTCATGCCAAGCGGTACGAAATATTATGAACCAGACACAACACGATTGCAGCTTAGTAAAAAGTCTTTTGGGGTGGGGGTTGTGTTTGAGTGTGTGTATTAGGTTATGAATAATAATTTTAGGACTCAGATTTAATACATCAATTTAATGATATGTCAAACAATGTAGTCATAATTAAAAAAAAATCTTACAATTTATATACTTGCAATGCTTTTATTGGATCATGCATATCACCCACCATCATTGATTGGGGTGCTCATCTATTCAGAGTGGATCCTCTATGAACTAATCTTGGTAATATGTTCTTATGTAAAATTGAAAAAAATATATTGAATTAAGAGCAACTTCAACACACTCTCTATTTCTTTTTTTTTTTTTTAGCTATTTTAGCTAGCTAAACACTAAAAAAATCTCTAACCCACTCTCTATTTCTCATTTCACCAAAATGGCTCTCCAAATGTGGAGAGTCATTCAGCCTTTCTAAACTCTCTACCCCTTTCTCTCTCTATCTCTCTCTATATATATGTACAATTTGCTTTAAATTAGTAGAAGTTAGTGAAAGTTACATGAAATAGTTAGCTAAAAATAGAGACCATAGTTGGAGTGAACTTGTAAATGTGACTCTTTAAAATAGAGAATGTAATATTTAAATATATTTTGAGTGATTAAAATGGAAAGTTAGATAAGAGTCGCACCAAGTTTTTATTAGGTGTAGGTTCTAATATATATAGATGTATGTATGTATATATTTTCCAAAGCCACTCAATGTGAGTGGGGGGTTTGGCAGGACCCCTACCTGTATATATAATTAAAAGGAAAAAAGTACAAGGGAGGAGAATAACCTCCAGAAGTACAAAGTGGGAGGATCAAAACAAAAGCAAGGTGGTGACTCACCACCAAGGATATGAAAACAATGTGAGGACTCCCCACAGAACTAATTGAAAACATAAATGCAAATAAAAAAGTTATCGACGAACGTGAGAAGTCTGTCGAGCATCCAAGACGAGAATGCCAGCAATCTCAGAAGGAAGGGATGACGAATCAAGAAATTGTTGATTGAGCTGCTGAGAGCAAGCCCAATTAGCCATGAAGTCGGCAGTTTGATTCGTCTCCCGCAGGACGTGGCAAATGTGAGCCAAAAAAGAAGCATACAGAAGCCGAATGCGAGCAAACAGGTAAGCATAAACCTAGCATCCAATACCCAGAGAATAAACCCAAGAAGCCACTGTAGCTGAATCTGACTCCACTACCAACTCTGAAGCTTTCAAATCTGCGGCCAACTCCAACCCAGCACAAACAACCTGCATCTCCACATACAGAATATGCTGATGCCCCATAAACAAGCCAAAAGCTCTAAGAACCCGACCCTGGTGGTCCCGACTAACACTTCCTGCCGCAGATAGCCTCGGATTGCCTTTAGAATAGTCGTCAACACTGATTTTCAAGCAACTTGATATAGGACGAGTCCAAGCAACCAAGCGGAGAGGCTGAGGCCAAGGAGCCAAGACCCAAAGAGAACCCACAAACTCAACCGACTCATCTCGACGCAACTGACTCGGAGCAAACTCAAAAACAAGCCCAATTAACTACATATCGGTCAAAACCCTCTCAACCACAACGGGCAACTGAAAAGCCCGGTCATCGAACCTATAAGAATTACGCGCCTTCCATAGGTGCCACAGAATAAAGCACGGTAGCAGTATCCGCATGTGACCTGCAAAAAGAGCACAACGTCGCCAGCGAAGCATTAAAGCATAAGGACACTGAAAAGGGCAAGATCTTATCTCAAACATCCAATAAAAGTGACCCCACACCTGAACTACAAGTGGACAATCCAAAAAATGGTGCCTAAGAGTTTTAACAGCCCCACCATACACACAACGGGATACTACATGGAAACCCCGTCTTTCTAAGCCATCATCTGTGGCTAGGAAAACCATGAAACAATCACCACGTAAAGAAGGAGACCTGAGCCAAAATATGCCTCTGTCAGACACAAGAAAACCCAGCCCGAACTGGAGCTAGACTTCGAATATTGGCCCAAGCAGTCCTCAAGGAAAAATCTCCATCCAAAGACAAACTCCACCTCATTTGATCAACCCCCTGATCTGGAATCTGCATAACCTGCTCAACAACTGAAGAAGGCGAAACCCCCAACAATCGACCTCTGTCCCACTGCTGACACTCCCAGTAAAAAAAAACAGGAACCCCAGGAGCTGCCCCCGGACACACTAAAACCAACGGATAATCCCCCGCTCAACAATCATACCAGAAACTAATCTCACCGGACCGTACTAACCATCTGATCTTTGGCTCAGTTACAAATCGAATCTCACACAATCGCCTCCAAAGAGGTAAAGTTGGATAACGAAACTCAATTAGGCCAGGATGGGTGAACCTACAGTACTTGACCCACATAAAAGTGGACCATATAAGCGACAATCGTGTTGTATCATATTGTGTCTGGTTCATAATATTACGTACCGCTTGACATGAATAGCCCCTAAATAAGAAACCCTAAGACTAGGACTCTTTTTTTCTCAACCAAACCTTTTACACATAAGTGTCTCATAAGTAAAGAATCCACCCAATCCCAATTCCAAGAAAACCAAACAAAAAATCCTCTAATACTATGACAGGTTGTACCAATTAAATGAGTTTGTTATCTCAAAATCGAGTTATTTATACTTGAAAGTAGCATGACGTATTATTTTTAGGTTTATATCACTTCAAGTTGTGTCAGGAATTGTGTGAATAATTATGACGCATGCTTATGATCCTATGGTTTGCACCATAAAGTATATGAATCTTAGTATCATAAGCTATCTGAGTAAATGGCCCCTTCTTATAACTGAAAAGTATAAAATTCAATGCTGACTTGGAGAGCCCAAGACATAGTCTAACGGAGTCTAATCTTTGTGTTGATTTAATTTATGGCACTAATAACCCCATATTTGAGGACATGCACATACACTGCCTTGTTTACAAACTGGTAACTTCTTTTAAGTACTTTTTAAGGAAAATGTTTCAAAAGTAGGAAGCATGCTTCATTATTATTGTATAATTGTCTATTTGCATTTTAATATATACAATAATATGTATATATTTACCCATCTGTGCTACTATCAAAGTTGGGTTCTTAAATATTAGATCCAAAATTTATCCATTGGATGCATTGCAACACCATGAAAATAGGGTGTCTCTCTAACCGCCGGCTTTTGTCGGGCTTTTCTAAGCTTTATGTTCACCATGGCGATTAAAATTGGAAGGGAGTAAATCCAAGCAAAAAAGATTAAAAAAAATAACTATATTTGTTGAAGAAGTGCATAGAAATACCTCAATGAAGAAAACATTATCGCAATACATAATTGATATATAAATAGTCGATTATCATAGGTGTACTATTAAGAGCTAGATTGGAAGAATGTAGCAAATCCAAACAAAAAAATTAATAAAAAAGCATAAATTCCAGCTTGAGCTTACAATACTAATATGGATTTGTTTTAGCTATATTACTCAAAGAAAACCAAACAGATGGCAGATTTTTACTTGAACTGCCAAGACTTGTTTTTTTTATTGTGGTAACGCCTTTCTAGAATTGCGTTTAACAAAGTCATATAGATTTTCAATAAGAGAGTAACTCGACCTCGACCAGCAAAGGCCTATGGAGATGGATGCTCGTAGTTTGAGGTTGAGCTGACGCTTTTCCTACCAAACCGTCTGTCACGTTTCTGATATGAGTTCAACGCCTCTATAAAGTCTACTTCCTCAAAATCCGGGAAACATTTGTTAGCGAAGTAAAATTCATTGAAGTGCACTTGCCACAACATGAAGTTGCTAAGTCTAAGTTCGCCACTTGTTCGTATATGTAAATCAGGGTTGGGGAACTTGGTACACTTTGTTTCTAGTTCTTGTTCAAATATGCTTTGGTTGATGTCTTCCAATTGAATGAGACCATCCTTCACTTTGCTAGCAACACTTTTGCAAGCTTGCAGTATGTCATATCGTCCACCATAACTTAGTCCTATTATAAAATGGAGTCTTGAGTTTGCCTTTAAAGCATTCTCTGCTTCAGATATCACTTGTTGCAGAGAATTGGGGAGCATCGATTTGTCCCCGATCACAGATAATCGAACATTATTCCTACCAAAATATGAGAAAATAGTAGCCCGTCCATGCTCATTTTTAAACAAATTTGAAGCTATATAAGGATAATTATGAGAACAAGTGAGTAATAAACAAGATGTTTTGGGGTACATTCCGAATATCATTTGTCATATTTTACAATTTACATGGAGGGAGATGTATTGAGTCGCTTTGGAAGGGCACTTCCCAAATATATTTTTCTATCTTTTGTTTCTAATTTTAATTGTAGGATTTTGAATTGTTAATTTCAGAATGAACCAATTACAATGTAACATGTACCCCTAAATAACCACCCCCAACTTCAACAAACTAACTATCATTTATTTAAAAATTGCATTTGCTACACTATAACTTGTTATAGCTATCTATGTGTCTATCTTGGGAAATGTTTCCTTCTTATTTTTGAAATTGTTAGTGAGAAGTGTGTTTTGATTGTCTCTGACATAATTATACAAGAGAAATTATCCTAAACACCACCTAGAGGAGGAGTAGATGAATAGATCTTTTATACTTCTTGCGGAAATCTTAGCCCAATTAGACGTACTTACCACAATTACCAATTGATTAATGAAATTATGTTCAATGAACCCTTATGTTCAAGTGGCAGCTCCCAAGCAACTGTCTACTTGAGTAGCTTTAATGTTTACTAAGATGCATCTTTAGCTGTTAACCCATCTAAACATTTTTGTCTTATTTGTTGGTACAACCCATGGGCTGCACCTCCTACAGATTTGTTTTTCCTTTTGTAGCTCATGTGAGCCTGGAAGGGATACGCCCTTACATGTTTTGTAACTAGTTTACTCCAAGCAATACAATATTACTTTCTGGAATGTATGAATGCTCAAGTCAACAATCAATTTTAATTTAATGCAAATCCACCATCCTTATTCCTCCAGTCCCCTTCCACCAATTCAACAGCCACAAAGATGATAATATATAATAAACCAACAACCACAACACAAACTAACTTTAATATGGAAATCCTCTTGGAAAAAACTATAAAACCGTAATTGATTGGAGAAATTAATGTTATGCTGAACATTAAAGGACAAAATTGAAAGTTAATGGACTGAAATGATTGTCAACATACACTATGCAAAGCTTAGCAATTTATTGCAAACTCGATATATGACAGTTGAGATAAAATTTTATCGTCAACCACAAAGACATTGCAATTTGCAAAATGAAATCCTGAAATACCCAATACTTGATGAGTCCAATAAAATTCTTAAGAACCATAAGAAGTAGCTAGCTTATAGTAAATTGAAAAGTTTGTTTAGTTATAACAACTTTTATATCATTACCCCTTAAATTGATATAACTCACCAACAATGTAAATATAATGCGTTATCACAAAAAAGGTACATCATTAGTTTGAATTATTTCCTTTAGCTTTTACTTGGCGATGACTAAGAAACCAACGAAGGTGTTAATATGCCATTGAAGGCTATCAACGACATTCTTATTTTTTATTATCGTTTTTTTGTTGTTATGTTTCCTTTATTCTTTATTACCATTCTTTCACTTTCATATTGCAGCATGTCTTTGTCCTTGTGCATGTTGATGTCTCAGACTTTGTATATATTAGATGTATAATTGATAAATAACAACAAAAATTGTGTGTTTTGCAAGAGTTGAGGAGAGAGAGTAGATGATGCTTTGGGAAGAAGTAGAAGGTGCATTAGAAGAATATGTATTTTTTTCGTTTGATTATATGTTCATACTTTTATTTCTTAGTTTACGTATTTGGAACTTATAAAAACTACGAATGTTGTTATGTATTTTTTATGGATGTTCTCTCTTTTTGTAAATATTAGAATTTTTTATATGTAATTTTATTTTTTTTTGTTTTGTGAATTACTTTTTTTTTTAAAATTAGGTTCATTTTGTAATAAAGAGAAAAAATTAGTATTAATTTTTTAATAAAAAAAAAGATTACTTGCACCGGTACCGATGCAAAAGTGTCATTTTCTCATGTGGAAAAAATATTTTCACCAGCAAAATACCAATGCAAGTAGTATTATTTGCAACAGCAAGTTGATGGCGCAAATACTCTAACGCGATTCTTATTTTTTGCGTCAATTTGTTGCCGATGCTAATACTTTTTGTGTCAGCTATTACTTCTTACATCATGACTTTTTAGCCTCACCATTGTTGATTCAAAGACGATACAAATTATTTGCGTCAATAAGCTAAACTTTTTGCGTCGACTTAAACTTTTTTCTTGTAGTGTTTCTTATGAGATTTGCATACGAATTTGAACAAAGATAGAGAATTGAAGGCGACTCACAATTTGAAAGCTTGGTTATTTCAATTGATAGTCAATAATTTATACTTTATTTTTACCGGCAAGGAGAAGGCTTCCAACTAGACCTCTTGGAATACTCAATTCAATCCTTTTGGAAGGATATAATATTTTTACGACAAAGCTGAGAATAATTTGCCTTCGAAAGTAGGCTCATGAAGTTTTCATCCATCGCTTTGAATCAATATCTCTAGAGAACAAAACAACTACAAAATTACACCAAATAAAACATATGTATATATATATGCATTCATGCAATCACACTAAAGAAAATTTGAAAATTTTATATAACTCAGTTCAAAAGTACCTCATCCACTCCTCCATAGCAATTGATTTTATCCACATTTCACACCAGTTCATAAAACTGTGAACATCCTCCTGCAGCCGTATCAAACTTATTGTTAAGAAACGTAAGATAATTCTAATTATCATAAAAGAATAAGTAATTAATTAACAAATTCAAAAGAAATTAAAAACTAATGACACTTTTCGCCAAAAAATACTTTGAAGTATTCACATTCTCCTCTTATAGATTAAAAGCCTAACAAAACACCATGATTTTTTTAATTGGTAGCAATGTGTCCCCCAAAGCAAGGTGTTGTTTGCTTGTTCATCTTTTTGTACAAAAATGGCAAGTACATAAAAAGAATTGGTGTTTTGGGAGATATTCTGCCACTTAAATTTTTTAGAAGGCAATAGAAGTTTTTTAAAGTTTTTTGAGGCAATAAAATAAAAATCTAAGATTAAATGCTATTTTTACTCCCCCAAAGCTATAAATTCTAGTGCGCTTGTACAATCGAAATTTGTAATGTTAAAAAATAAGGGAGGCAGGAAAGATTAGAAACAAAAGAACATATAAACTATCAAGAATACAAAAAGAAAGAAAGAAATATAAGAAGGTAAAAGTGAAAAAATTAAGAATCACATTTCACACTAAAAAAAAAAACTTCTTCCTTGTTGGTAATTTTCTCATGTGTATGCTTCAAAAATGAAGGAATGGAGAAGAGGAAGGCAGTACACGTTGCACAGTTGGGTTGATTGCTTTAAAAAGTCCGAAAATACCAAGCGTCATACAAAACAAATTTAATTTCAATAGAAATATATTAAGAAAATTATACTCAAACCTCTTGAGATTTTTCACTTAATCACTTAAACTTTCTAATATTTAAAATATTACATACAGACCTCCTAAAGTTTATACACGTGTAACACCTAGACCTCTGCAGTCAATGTCCGTTAGTATATCCATTAATAAATTACACTCAGACTCTCTGAAATTTGTAGGTGTATAATACTTCAATCCCTCAAATTTAATATGTTATACTTAGACCAAAAATATTCCAATCAAAGATCAAATATTAAATATTATAAATTTTACAAGAAAAATTTGTAATTAATACAAAATTATATTTTTTTTATGTTATTATATTATCTATTAGAATAAAACTCAAAAATCAAACAAGAGCTCTAAGTCATTCGAAATATAACAAGAATTTTACAACTAAAATTCATGTTCTATTATGTCATTTATTAAAATAAAATCAAAAATAAAATTCTATTTTTTTTCTTAAAAAACATAATTATTATACAATCATACTATCTATTGAAATAAAACTAAAAAATCAAACAATGAATCAAACTGTAATTGACACAATATCTTCTAATTTCAATTGGGATAGTTTGGTAGTTTAATTTGATCATTTAAACAACAAAATTAAATTCCACTAAATAATATAATTGTATAATAATTATGATTTTTTAAGAAAAAATTATATTTTTATTTTTGATTTTATTTCAGTAAATGTCATAATAGACATGATTTTTTGTTATAAAATTTAAAATATTTAATATTCTGTCTTTGATTTGAGTATTTTTAGTCTAAGTAGTACATTTTAAACTTGAGATGTCTAAATATTCCACGCCTACAAACTTTAAGGGTCTGAGTGTGATTTACTAATGGATATACTAACGAACATTGACGATAACATTCTAAGTGTTACACGCAAACAAATTTCAAGAGGTTTGAGTGTAATTCTCTCATATATATATATATATATATATATATACACACACACACACGTAGCTTTGGATAATTTGCACTGAATTCATAGCAAATCATATTTTTTTCTTGAAAAAGAAGTGCTTTAGTTTATAAAAATTTCGTTAGCTTTCTTCAACATAAATTCGTTGGTTGATCTTGAATTTCTAATACTAATATAAGCATGTTTGAGATATTTAAAATGCATATAAATGATAAAAGCAAACACCCACAAAAAATACATACGTTATATGAAATTAACCAAAAAAAGGGCTGTATATATGAAAGTAACCGTTTGTGATCGAAGAAGCAACAGTAACACTGACTTTGGAACGACTCATATTCTCGGTAGAATATGCAAAAAATGTGAGAACTGGAACTCCCCATTTGCAACAGAGTCGAATGAGGTCCGCCATTCACCGTCCAAGGGCCCTATAAACCTCGTCCACCGGTAAACCCCTCTTCCGGGCCCGCCTCCTGTGGCCATCCGGAGACACGGCGCCATGTTTCGGCATTAGTTCTCGCCGGAGGCCGGCCGGCACTTCTGCCAGTCCTTTTTTTCCTACTTCGCCTTCTTCTTCTTCTTCTAATACTCCATTCACAAGAAGCTTGCGAAATCTGGGAGAAGAAATTGAAGGGCCAAAGTTCCATCTGATTCTTCTGTTTCTTTTTGCTAGGTCACGGTCACTGGTAACAGAAGAAAATGGTTTGTTTTGGAGATGATGAGAGAGAGTAGTAGTGTTCTTATGAGTAGGAACAAGTGGGAATCGAATGGACAGCATTTTGCAACTTTATGCCTGTCTTTTTGGGTTTATTAGTATTAGTATTACTACCTCCTGCTTTGTTGATCCACTTGTATTTGTAGTCACGGAACTCGGCCAGACGACGTAGTCTTAATGGATATGTTTAGGATGGTAATTTGTGATACATCACGAAAACTTGATTTAAAATTAATGAGTTAGGGTGGACCATTTCTTCACAAAAACTTGTATATAACACAACTCGTTAACATGAATAATAAATAAGTTGAGTTAGTATCAATCAAAAACATCACGAAATTGACACAATTAACACATTTAAGTAGTATTACAACAATAAAATGTTTAACTTTTTATTGTATGAGTTAGTAATTGTTTCTAACTTTTATGATTTACAAGAAAAAAGCATATTGAGACCTACATATATACATAATACTCAGACCTAATAATGTGACATTATTAGAGATAATGATTCAGACTCAGAATCTGCTCCAATAAGGACTGTTGCACCGATTAGGAGGACTGCTTTACACTCAGAATCTGCTCAAATAAAAACTGTTGCACCGACTAGGTGGACTGCTCCACCGACTACACAAGAGTCTGCTCCAATAAGAATTGTTCAAGTGATGAATTCCACTCAAGAAAGGACTGTTGCACCGACTGCACCTGACAAAGCTACATCAAATGATAATGATGAATTTACTCCATATAATCAGTTGAAGGATAGAATTAAAATAGGCTAAGCATAATTATCTTATCTCTAGTATTTAGACTTTTGGTTTTGTTGTAATTCTAAGTCTACCAAATGTATTATTCATATGCATTGTATATATAGAAAACAGAGCCTTGGCAGGAACAAATAACAAAGAAGAGGTTCTTTATTATCTTAAACTAGTTTTTCTTTATGGTATCAGAGCCACAAAGAACCTCCACAGAAATGTCTACCTCTCTTAATCTTTCTAATATCCCACAATTGATATCTATGGGTGTGTTAGAATATGTGTGGCTCATATATTGCTGTGTGTATAATAGCAAGGAGGCAAATGCTGAAGCAGGCGGAGCGTAGCGGAGTGGAGCCCGTGACGGCATCTGCCTTGTGGGATTTATATATAAGGGACGCTGATTAGTTGGGGGTGCGGGGGCAACGCCCCCGCGGTACGGTACAGGGATATTTTTGTAAATACGTCCATATTAAGGTTATATAAATACTTAAGATGTAACCCTATTCAATAATGGAAAAGAACGACCGCTCGCTCTCGTGGATGTAGGCACATTGCCGAACCACGTAAATCTCTGTGTGTTATTTTCTCCTGCTTTCTTAATTGTTTGATTCCTTACTATTCACCATAATTGCTGCACGATCACAACAATTGGTATCAGAGCAAGACTACGATGTCTGGGATTTCCTCTACAAAATTCGACATCATGAAGTTCGACGGAACTGGGAATTTCGGATTATGGCAGAGGAGGGTGAAGGACCTGTTAGTGCAGCAGGGCATGGTGAAGGCATTATACGGAAAACAACCGGCAGGAATGGACGACATGGATTGGAAAGAATTGGAAGCGAAGGCTGTGGCGACTATTAGGCTTTGTCTAGCTGATGAAGTGATGTATCACGTCATGGATGAGGAATCACCGGCGGAAGTTTGGTTGAAACTGGAAAGTCGGTATATGTCCAAGTCGTTGACGAACAAGCTCTATCTTAAGCAGAAATTATATGGTCTTAAGATGTCAGAGGGCTCGGATTTGACCCAACATATCAACGTGTTCAATCAGATCATCAGCGATCTGAAGCGAGTTGATGTGAAGTTCGAAGACGAAGACAAGGCGCTGATGTTGCTGAATTCCTTACCGGCGTCTCCTACGTACGAGAATTTGGTTACGACTCTGATGTGGGGGAAAGAAACCCTCGAATTGGAGGATGTCACAGGTGCTCTGTTAGGTTTTCATCAGCGGAAGAAAGCCAGTGATGAGGCTTCACAAGGTGAAGGGCTTGTGGTGAAGGGTAACCAGGAACGTGGAAGAAGCAAATCTCGGAATGGATCGGGTAACAATAAAGCCCGGTCCAAGTCAAGGAAGAAGAAGAATGACGTCTCTGTCTCGTGTTACAAGTGCGGGAAAAAGGGGCACTTTAAACGGGACTGTCCAGAGAAAAAGAAAGGGATTCAGAGAACAAAGAGGGTGCATCAAAGTCTGCAAACGTAGTGGAAGAAGAAGATTCAGAGAGTGGTGACGGAGATATGCTTTCTGTTTTATCTAGTTCAGATCGTTTAACAGATTCTTGGATTATGGATTCAGCATGTTCCTATCACATGACACCCAACAAAGATTGGTTTGACACCTGCAGGTCAGTAAATTCTGGTTCTGTTATGATGGGTAATGATGCATCTTGCAAAGTTGTTGGAATAGGAAATATTAGAATTAAGATGTTTGATGGTATGGTTAGAACGTTGTGTGATGTTAGACATGTACCGGATCTAAGGAAGAATTTGATTTCATTGGGCACTTTGGATTGTAATGGTTATAGTTACAAATCTATAAGTGGAGTAATGAAAGTAAGTAAAGGCATGCTGACAGTGATGAAGGGACAGAAAGTAGTAGGAAACATTTACAGACTGCTGGGTACTACAATTGTAGGTGGAGTGGCTGCTGTAGAGTCTGAATCAGATAATACAGTCTTGTGGCATATGCGGCTGGGTCATATGAGTGAGCGTGGGATGATAGAGCTTCATAAGAAAAATCTATTGAAGGGTGTCAAGACATGCAAGCTCAATTTTTGCAAATATTGTGTTTTTGGAAAACAGAATAGGGTGCAGTTCAAGACAGCCACACACAAGACAGAGGGGGTTCTCGACTATGTCCATACAGATGTTTGGGGACCAGTTAGCGTACTATCACGGGGAGGATACATGTATTTCATGAGTTTCATTGATGATTACTCACGAAAGGTCTGGGTGTACTTCATGCGGCACAAGTCAGAAGCGTTTGCCAAGTTCAAGCTGTGGAAAGCTGAAGTAGAGAACCAGACAGGGAGGAAGATTAAATGCCTCAGGTCAGATAGTGGTACTGAGTACACAGATTCAAAGTTTCAGGAGTTGTGTGAGCAGCATGGGATCAAGAGACACTTCACAGTCCGCAAGACACCACAACAAAATGGTGTAGCGGAAAGGATGAACAGAACGATAGCCGAGAAAGCTCGGTGTCTCAGGTTGAATGCAGGGCTTGCAAAGAATTTCTGGGCAGAGGCAGTGAATATGGCATGTTTCTTGATTAACAGATCACCGAGGGCAGCACTAGATGGGAAAGTATCAGAGGAGGTGTGGACAGGCAGTGAAGTAGACTACTCTGGTTTGAGAGTGTTTGGATGTCCAGCCTATGTACATGTTTCTAGTGAGGAGAGGTCGAAGCTTGATGCGAAGTCTAGACAGTGTATTTTTCTAGGATATCAGAAAGGAGTGAAAGGCTTCAAGCTCTGGGATCCGAAGGCAAACAAGATGGTGATCAGTAGAGATGTGGTTTTTGATGAAAAAGCCATGTTGCAGCGTACTCAGGAAGAAGAGAAACAAGTACGAGAAAACTGTAGCACTAATGACCATGTGGTGCAGGTGGAGCTAGAGAATCATGGTAAAGAAGAGGATGCTCAGCATGTAGAGCGTTCTATCTCAGGTGATCAACAGCATCATAGTATAGCCACAGACAGGCCCAAACGCAATATCAAGCCACCTACCAGGTATGGTTTTGAAGATTTGGTTTCTTATGCGCTTATTACTAGTAGCGGGGATCCTACAACTTTTCAGGAGGCAGTACAAAACCAAGAGAAAAGTAGATGGATGGGTGCTATGGTGGAGGAGATGGAGTCTCTGCATAAGAACCAGACGTGGGAGTTGGTGGAACTTCCCGAGGGGAAGAGAGCAATAGGGTGCAAATGGGTGTATAAGAAGAAAGAAGCAGTATCAGAAAATGAGGGAGAAAAATTCAAGGCTCGTCTAGTAGCAAAGGGTTACTCACAGAGAAAAGGGGTTGACTATGATGAGATCTTCTCCCCCGTGGTCAGACACACTTCCATCAGGACAGTGTTGGCACTAGTAGCACATTCAGATATGCAGTTGGAGCAGATGGATGTAAAGACAGCTTTCCTTCATGGCGACTTGGAGGAACGGATTTACATGGTACAGCCAGAAGGGTTCAGTCTCCCTGGAAAGGAACATTTGGTCTGTAATTTGAAGAAATCACTTTATGGGCTGAAGCAGTCTCCGAGGCAGTGGTACAAACGATTTGACTCTTACATGATCCGAATTGGCTACAAAAGGTGTGAGTATGATTGTTGTGTCTATGTAAAAGGGCTTGATGATGATTCATTTATTTTTCTGTTACTTTATGTGGATGATATGTTGATTGCTGCCAAGAGTATGAGTGAGGTCAACAAGTTGAAGACTTTGTTGAGTAGAGAATTTGACATGAAGGATTTGGGTGCGGCCAAGAAGATTCTTGGGATGGAGATTCGCAGGGACAGAGCTTCCAGGAGATTATGGCTATCTCAGCATAGCTATGTTGAGAAGGTGTTGGACAGGTTCAGCATGAGTTATGCAAAATCAGTAAGTACACCTTTGGCGAATCATTTCAGATTGTCTACCGCTCAGTGCCCGAAGACAGATGATGAAGTTCATGACATGTCAAAGGTCTCATATGCTAGTGCAGTGGGGTGTTTAATGTATGCTATGGTTTGTACAAGACCAGATTTGGCACAAGCTGTCAGCGTGGTTAGCAAGTTTCTTTCAAATCCGGGTCGACAGCATTGGGATGCAGTCAAGTGGATTTTCAGATACTTGAGGGGGACTACAGACTATGGCATCAGGTTTAGCAGACAACAGAGTGACCCTTCAGTTATGGGATATGTGGATGCAGACTATGCAGGGGACTTGGATGACAGGAGGTCTACCACAGGTTATGTGTTTACTCTTGTGGGAGGACCTATTTGTTGGAAGTCCATGGTACAACCTATAATTGCACTATCTACTACTGAG